GTGAAAAAGTAAAAGTTATCTATTTTTCTAACCCTAGAGAGGGAAACAATTAAAAAATTTTGAAGAGGTTTTTTTTCTTTCCCAGAAAAGAGAATACAAAGCATTAGCTTGTTTCTCAAACTCCTCCTCAAAACTGCACATCTTTTCTATCCACAACAGCTGACTATACGGTAATCTCTTCTTCAAAGAGAATGGATGATATCTTGAATAATGAAAAAAAAAAAAAATCCTATCAGCCCACTTTTAATAAATAATAGTTTGTATTAGTTCTGATTTATTCATTCTCACATTTAAAATGAAACCTCACAATTGGCCTCTGTTATAAATGTAAAACTAGGTAACCTTTAGTTAAATCTATTTAGATCCTCAACAGTGCCAATAAATATAAATATAAGTCATAAATATATCTAAACCAAAAGTTAATAAAGGAGAGATATGATCATGATCAACATGATTAAGTTTAAGTTTCCCCATAAATAAATTCACATAACTAGGACTGACAGGGATACCCACTGAGACCCTTTGCTTCTATAGGGGAAAAAAACAAAAACTCAAATCTGAAAAGATTCTTAGTGTGAACTATTTCTACTAATTTTATCAGCAATTTTGTTGCTAAAGTTCCCTCTTTCCTTGCATTCAAATTATAATGTAGGGCCTTCCAACTCCTGTTTATGGGGAGCATTCGCATATAAACTCATGACTTCCATTGGACATAAGATTAGTATCTTTGATCTCACTCACAGATATTAATTTACACAAAAAAAGGAGAGCCTACTGACACAACAGGAGATCCTGGAACAGGCCCCCACACAACTTATATCAATCTTGGGCAATGTATAAGAGAATGGGAAATCTAGGATGTTCTTCTAACAAATATCCAAATTGACCTTGTGATATTAAAGTGCTAGAGTGTTCTTTATTTACTTCTAAACTTTCAATGTAGGATCATAACTTTAAGAACTGTAGAAGTCTGTATTACGCAACTGATTCATTACTTGAACTGCAGTATGATTCTTTGTTCTGCCTACCGCACCACCTTCACTAGCATACTGTATAACTACTGTTTCATCATTTGCAAGATTTTTTTAGAGCCTGTGGAATAAATTAGGATAGCACTTGCACCTCCTCTTTAACTAAATGACGGAAAGTTTGCAGAGAAGCATTAATATCTTGGGGAAGAAATATGTTTTTAGATTTTAACTTCTTACTCCTCTGCAGCTCGTTAATTTTATCTTCATCACTTGAGTAAACAGATTGTGAAGAGTGAGAGAATCTTTACATGAAAAGAAAGCTTTGAGTTTTAGTGCATGAAAATTCTTGACAAATTCAATCTTGGTCATAAACTATTAGTCTTTTTAGAAGGCTCAAAAGATAGACATTTGGATAACATGGTAAAAAAAAATGTGATTACCTACTTGTTGTGTTAAGTTTGTAAGGGCTAAACTTAGAATGTATATTCTCTTGCAACCCTTTAATTTAAGAGCATGTGTAAATTCTGAAATTAACAAGCTCAAGTCCAGTGAACATTTATTCAAGCCTTCCCCACCAATAGGTAAATATGTACCTTATTTATCCCTCAATCACCTCACGATCCTTTTTTTTCCTCCAATACTGAGATAATGCAACTCCCTCTGCTTCATACATTCTAAGTGTTACAACAAAAACTCCCAAGTCCAAAATACCTTGGGAGGCAAGTCTGAGGAGAAAAAAAAAAAGTTCCTCTCACTAACCACCACAGAGAAGAGGCAAGCAGGAAGAACAGCTGGGTAAATTTTTGAGTACCGATTTGTCTTTTCAGTACAACTATACCCTGTTCTGTATGAATGAGCTTGTTGTTCCCCCGTAGCAAACTGCACTTAATGAGTGCAACCAATGACTCCACAGCCATAGACATGCTACAGTGCTGAACAGTGACACTAAATAAAGGTAAAAACATCTCATCACGGTCAAATAGTTTAAGTTCCCTTCTTGCCTTCACCTTCATGCCAGATAAAAATCAAATCATTTGACTGATTTTGAATGGTTGATCAACCTTAGAATTGTGTCACGCATAAAGTAATAGGCCCCAGCTCTCAGAGATTTACAATACACCGTAAATAAGAAACCAGAGCCAGAGTAGCACTATGACATACTGAAGAAATAATGCTACCTGACAGCTTTTCCAAGCTTTGGATACAATGGCAGCTAACTTATAAACACCGAAATTATTGAACAAGTGTTTCACTCAGTCATCATCAGCACATCAAAACACCTGGTGATTTTTAAGATTTTTCAATAAATAGAGATATTCTTACATCATTAGAAGAGCAGAACAAAGGAAAATGTAACTCATTCTCATCTTCTTCTAATTAATTCATACAGCTTGCTTTAATTCTGCCCGTTTGCAGTAACACAAGACTCAAGAATATACTTTTGTTGATAACTTTGGCTTTAACAACAAAAAAAATATGTCAACCACATTTCTTCATTTCTTCAAATGTATCAAGTAACTTAATTATGTTCACCTTTCATTATAAATTCATCAGAAATGGCATAGAGCACTACAGCCCACTGTGAAATAAACTCCAAGGGAGAAACTACTTTATCTTTTTTTCTGCCAAGCTAAGCAAACTGAACGAACTGACATAGCTTTCACCAGATAACTGCGATGAAAGACAAAGTAGAGTTCCTGTATATACCCATGACGAAATATATCCTACAGAGGTCATCTCCCTGTTAAACCACTCGCTCTTCAGGGTAAACAAAAATAAATACCTGTGTAAACTAAAAATAAAGCGGTGTATTACACCACCTTCACCTCTTCTGCTGCCTCACGCTTTTCCTCGAAATTCATCATTGCCATTAGGGACGTTAATTTGTAATATACTGTTGGTTTATTTTGCACTTGCCGTGAAGAAACACAGCAGCTATCTTTGGAAAATTAAGATAATATATGATTTTAAAAAGGGTGAGGCTGTAATGTAAGGCTTTTACTGCCAATAAAAGTATTTAAAATAACCACTTATCACAATGCTGAAGGGCTTTGGGGAAACGTGTCGATATCAAGCTTAAGTATTTAAACATAGCTAACCTTCGGGGGGGGGAATAATAACCACCCAATAAACACTGTTGTCAACGCTAATGTGTGCTAACGATAAAAGCTCATTCACTAGCTTCCAATATTCCTCAGTATGCTACCCCGGATTTCAAATAAAAATTAAGGAATTCAGTCAAGTCAGAACAATAACAATAATAATAATAATAATAATAATAATAATAATAAGGTAAGATATGGTTTAGCGCTTTTATAGATTACAACACAGGACAGAGTTATGCTGTACAATCAGGAGACGCTAGTTAGCATGCTGGGCTAGGAGGCTAGCTCGCTAACGTTTCCGAGCGGCGCAGGAGGGGGTTTAAATTTTCTTACCAGTCAACCGCAGCTTTACTGGGCCATTTCTCCTAACTCCTTGGTTAGACATTCCCCTTCGTGTTCCAGCTTGACGAATATTCAAAAAAGTGTCACCGTGTAGGTTTTTTTTCCTTCTTCTTTTTCAAAAAGGCATCTCCCAAACAAATCCCTCTGCTAGCTTGGGGTTAGCTTGTAGTATCACCATAGCAAATCACGCTGACTGTGCACGCAACAAACAGGTAACATAATCACATCCCTGGAATAACACTCTCCGCGCGAACTCCTTTTCCGCAAAACAATTGCAAATAACTACATTTCCAAATGCAGATCATGCCGTGTGCCACGAGTACTGATACAAGTCAGCAGAGAGGCTCGTCCTCCATCCGGACAGGCGTCTGCTCTGCCTGGGCTGCCTGGACTCAAGTTGTTCGTGATGATGGTGAAGACAGTTCTACTGCAGGCAGGCAGGGACAGGGGAGGAAAACACGAGAGGACATCCGGTGCGAGCGTTCAAAATAAACTCACAATCGAAACAATGCTTTATAGTTTTCCAGTACCAACTACTTCCTTATTATAAATATTATAGATCAGATTTTGCTATTTAAAAAAAAGAAAAAAATCGAATCCAACAGGATCACTTCACTGCTGGGCCCTGACCTGGTCATGTTGGTTATAAACTCAGCTGTCGTGTTTCTTAATTGTTCACCTTATTCACCGATGACACCAAGCTTCTGAAGATAGAAAGAGTTTTAAAGAAATGTTTTGATATTAGAAAACTATCATGGTTAACTGTTGTAGTAAAAGGAAGCATATTTATATGTTTGGAAATAAAAACAAACAAAACTATGATGAATAATATTGAAGGAGGGGTATAATTTTATAGCAAAGCTCATATAAAAATGCTTTTTAAAAATGCATAAATATACTTTTGGCGTGCATAAAAATGCACGCCAGTATATAAAACCAAAAGATTTACTGAATCAAGAAATAATTAAATTAGACGCCTTCTAATTTTGAAACACTTAAACACAAAACTAATATAAAAATATATATAATTCCAAACTTTGCTCAAGGGTCGTCTGAAGTAACAAAGATGTAGTGTGAACCTCAGGCGAAAAATATGCTCTAAACTCTCAAATAATGAAACCAGTTAGCTCAAAACAAGTGGTGCCACCCCACCCCAAGGTTACCTGCTGTATAGATGCATAGAACCTTCCAAGTCATCACCCCAATATAAAATACAATATAGTGCAAAACTGAAATTCCATCCAGACTATAGTTAATACACTGACACACCTTGTTTTTAAACCTAACAAAAGTAGAAATACAGTGTCACCTAGTGGTGGTGAAGACGTACTGCCCGTTTAGCGCAACAAAACTGTGCATCTGAAATTAATCCACTAGTTTGCACAAGCTTATTTAATAAAAATAAGTTAAAATAAAATAATCATTATAATTAATGATGAATCATTATTAATTTTCTAATTAATTTCTGTTTTATAAAAAAGCATAAGCTCATTGTTTGTTATACACACACAGGGAAACAGATGAAACATCAATCAATAAAACTCCATATGAATTAATAAAGGTTTATTTACAAATGTTTTTTTAAAAAAACATGTATATTTATTTTTCTATGCTGTTAAGTACAAAGTTCAAAAGACTAAAAAAAATTTGCCCCCTCCCCCCAACAACAAGAACCACAATGCAACAATTACTATTTGTTTATGTTACAAAAAGATAAGTGGACGTGTTAAAATTTAAAAGTGCTTTGGTCTTCGGGGATGTGGAAGGCAAAGCAGTCTCCTCCAGCCTCAGGAACAACCGACTCTTCAACGTCATTCTAAAAGGCAAGTTTGAGAGAAGCATTAGACGACTAACCAAGTTATGGTAATGTTTCTGGGATGTCTCACGTACACACACTGAAGATTTTCAGACATGAGACAAATAAGATTGTTGGTTTCATCAGTCAGTTAAATTGTTGACATTTGTGATTCAGACACAACACCATTCAGAAATTAACCCTGTGCATGACTGGACAACACAGAGCAGAGCACTCTCTGCCCATGTTGCTGTTGATGACAAAGCAGCTGCTTCTTCCCTGAAGAAGCTGGTTTTAGTTTCCTCTCTCTTTTTCCATATCACAATTACATGGTGCAATCCTAACCAAGTTATGGCAATGTGGCCTGGCCTCTCTCCAAAACATGTCCCTATAGTCCATCTGCTCCTGGATGTGAACATAAATGTCTACTCCGGTAGACTCGACCAAGAAGAGCGTATTCTTTTAGCTATGAAAGGGTCTCTGTAAAGTGGTTAATATTAAAAGGCAGACTGCGTACGGACAGGCTGCACTAGAGCCAAGATCAGTGAACCTCTAAGTGTTTTTGATTAGATTTGACTGATGACTCTACACATTATTTTTTTAGGTTCAGGCAAGAATTTAATTCAAAGTAAATCTAGATAATACAAAAAATAAACTGTTCACAGAAGGCGCATGAAGGGATTTTAAGGAGGGTGCTGAGTGGCAAAGGCGAACATCTCTTTGGAATTTTTACAAATTATTTCTAAAAGCCTGGTTTATGACTTTAAAAACAATTTAGACTGATGATTTATCTTTACATTTTCCAAAGTGTAAAATTAACCAAGTTTTTAAAGATGCCCCCGTTTTAAATGAACCCACTGTGGTCCGTCAACATCATTAATTTCAAGCTGCATACAGCGTTATCTGAATGCTTTCATTGTCGATGCTGAACACTGTTGCTGTCAACCATTCTTCAAACCGATTTGACTGCTCCACTTTCACCTGCTATATGAGTATCTGATGGGAACCTTGTTAGGAGGAACACCTACCTCGTCAGAGAAGAATGTGTCTATAATATTAAGCGAGGACTTGTAGACTGCTTCATTGTCGTGGGACTGCAGTGCTTCAATCTTGTCCAAACCACCCAGCTCCTCAATCATTAGGCACAGTTTCTGAAGTTCTACGGTTTTTTTTGCCATCTGTGCAGAAAGGGAAACTCATGTCAGATCAAAACTTTCCACACAGAAATGATTAACCTAACCTAACAGTTATCATTTTACTTCAGTTCTTGAAACTTTGACTTTTTAATATTGCTAGAGTTCTGGCATTAAAGTTTTCCCTTTAAAAAAAATACTTGAAATTAAGTCTAACAGTTTATGTTGCAAACCTAAAAACTAAATGCCAATTACAACTCCAAAATAAGGATAAAAGATTTTTTCAGGTTCCCTCATTTCTTGTTTTGAATGAGATATAGCAATGAGCCATATTAGAGGCTCAGATTAAAATAGAAAAAACTTTCAATGCTATGAAGATCGTTTCTATTATTATATTTTGACTTAGTTTTTAATGTTAATTTAACGCACCAATGAAACTATGAATCTGACTTTTTGTCTACACACCTACTTGGCTCGACTCAGTTTCAGTCGTTTTCCATTACAACTGAGTACCACCTAATGTGCCTGGAGTCATTATAGCAATGCAGCCTATAGTCCCATCATGTCATTTGTTTGCACAAACACAACACTACAATATGTGTATAACTGCTGCTCGGTGTATGGTTTTTGTCAGACTTGAGGATCACTGTGTTGTTTTTGTGTAGTCATTTCCCTCGTTTTTGAGTTTCGAAAAGGGTGGTTTTGATTTTTGTAAAGAAGTCACTCTCATGACTCATCGAGTGACAGCACTGATCAGCCAACGGGTGGCATGCAGTACGGTGATGTCACATTTCAGATCGCGTCAGATCACTTGGAACTAAAAAAGTACCTGGTACCAGGTAATACAACCAAATGGAAAGCCCTAAAAAACTGAGTGGAGCTGAGCTGGTAATAGAGGAAAAGGGCTGTTATATTTTAATGTCTAACTGGTTGTTTTCATAAAACACCGAGTTGATTGGCTAGAGTCTAAAGAGAGACTCAGAATATGTCTGCGTTTTCAGCCAAGTTGAAATCTATTCCACACACCATTAACTCCACCATTTTGATTGGTTTCAGTTTAGAACTACCAAGCAGAAACTGCAGTTTCACTTTAGCCTTTTATTATACCTGTAAAATATTGTATATTGCATCCAGGATGACTAGAACAATCTTGCTGTCCTTGGTTATCAGCAGATTGAGCAGAGGCTCTAGCACATTGCAATGAACCAGGTAGGCCACCTGGTCCACTGTTCCACCGCTGGTATAATTGGTAACAGCCCACACTGCCTCTCTCTGCGTCTTGTAGTCTCCCTAGACAGGAAATCCATCAATTCAGTTTTTATATCAGAAAAATTATAAACAAAATTATCAAATAAATAAATTGCTGAAGGTTACAGAAAAGTTGGGGGAAGATTCAACGACTATACTGATCAGGTTCTAATTAGCTACAGAGAAGTTGGTGTTTATAGCAGATCTATAAATAAAGATTTATTTTATTTATTTCCTCCTTTGTTTTAAACACTGCCAAGTTTAATATAAATGTATTTAATAATAAGGACACATGTAACAAGTCTGCTCTAATTTCTGGTAGCACTCTGACCTGCTGGAGGATCTCCACCAGGATGGGGATCAGGCCTGCGTTTATAACTTCCTGAATCTGGTTGTCCTTGCCGGCGGTGATGTTGGACACTGTCCACGCAGCTTCTTTCTGGATGTTTGGCTTTGGGTGGCGCAGAAGGCTGGGAAACAATGCCAGAGAACCTGCATTCAGCACACACTGGGTCTGCTCATCTGTCCCAGTCACAATGTTGCCAAGTGAGCGCAGGGCTGGAGTCTGTGAGGTAGAGCAAGAGCAAGCTGGTTATTTTAAGCATTCTCAATTTAGAAAGTATACGGAATACAATCACACACCTGACCTTCATGTAATATAAATAAAACAGATTATATATAATAAAAAAGTAATGAAGAAAGAACCAAAGAGAATATTTCTATCTTTGTGTTCAGCATTGATTAGATGGAAGAAAGTGACCCAAGAGGCCATAGTGTATAACTTCAACCCCTGTTGTGAATTCTGGATATGCTGTTTTACCGCCAACAGCTGCAAACTTAACAGGACACCAAGCCTCTATCAGTCTCCATCATAGCATCTGAAATTAGTGGGAATATTTGATAACTAAACAAATACAACAGTCAGAGTTTAATAAATTGCACTGCCACATACCACAATACTGAGCTCCCCACAGGCGAGTAGCTGCACCAGACGGGGCACCAGGCCAGCCTGCACAACCACCTCTATCCTCTCATTGGTGTGATCGGTCAGGTAGGACACAGCCCAACAGGTGTCCGTCAACACCTCCTTGTCATCGTGATGCAGGAGGCGCACAAGGGCTGGAAGCAGCTGCAGCACCGCCTCCAAAGGAGGTGGGGGGTTCTTGTTCCGACACAGGTTGGATATGGTCCAAGTGATATTGCGCAGGTAAGCGGGCTGGTATAGTGGGTTTAGATTCAAGTGTTATTTTCTAACAATGATCACAAATGTGATTATTAGTGAATTACTATAATGACATTAAATAGATAAGTAACTCTTTTCGAGAGAGTCTTCAAACTGTACAAGCTCAGTGCCTTAAACAACATGACCTCATAGTTAACAACACACCCAAAAATAAAAAACTTGAACTAAAAAAAGCTTTTAGTAACACCTGCAAAAATAAAATGAGAGCAGCTCAGAGGGAACGTGTGCACTATGGATTACCCCAGTAAATAACTGCCCAATTTGCCCAAATCAAACCAGTGACCTCACTACTGCCAGCTAAAGGTATGCATTACCTGTTGAACGGGAATAAAAAATTCACAGCTCATGCTAAGGCCTCATTGACACATTTTAAGGGGTAAATATCAATCTACTTGAGCTTCATTTTTGGATTGGTCTTTAATTACATATTTAATTGTTTATAGAATGCCAGAAAATTGCTGTTTTTTTATATAAGGTATAAAAGCTGTTTGTTTCAACTTGTTCAGGTTGTTGATGTATTTATCGTGAGATAATTTAATACAAATGTCTGTTAAACGCTCAATAATATTTGATAGAAACTCACAGGAAATACAGACAGGTCAGGGGCTGACAGCAAAGCCAGGAGTGAATGGACACCACCATGTGAGATCACTAGGTCTCTGGAACTGGGCCCATCACCTACATTTAGAGGAAAAAAACATCTTTAGAGTAATCAGAAAAAAAGGCACATAAAGGCAGATACCGTAATTGTCGGGCTATAAGCTGCTACTTTTTGCACAAGCTTTGAACCCTGCGGCTTTTAGTCAGGTGCGGCTTTTCTATGGATTGTCCATGATTTTT